AAATAAAAAATAATTTTAAACAATAAAAATTTATAAATTATCACTTAAATAATAACATGAGTAAAATTTATTATAACTATAATTAATTAAAATTTATTTTTAATTGGTTAATAATAATAGTTGGAATTGGATCAAGTCCAATCGTCCAATTGTTTAAATGGACTTATTGGTATTAGTACAATAAGTCCAATATCTAATTAGTCCAATTGTCCAATTGTTCAATTGCCAACACTGGCAGTTAGACATCATTATGACATACTGCAGTTCACAGATCATGCAGCTAAAATTTTTAGCTAAGAGATATCAGAACAATACTGAAAATATTAATTATTATAAAGAACAATATCATAATAAAATTTAAAACTTTCGCAAATATATATTTTCCAAATTCTTCATTAAATCAATAATATATTAGGGTTAGAAAAAAATTATGGTTTTGTATTATGAATTAGTATAAAAGCAACCATATAGATGATAAAAATCCACAACTTTTACTTTAAGATGTAGTCAATTTTTAATAAAATTACATGTGAAAATGTCTTCCTAATGGAATAACAGCCATGTATGTAATCAGCTTTCTTTTGCCAATTTCAAATCTATAAGGTATAAATCAGCCAAATATATTGTGTATTAGTATAATACAATCCCTGCTGATATCATAAAATCTGTTTAGCCAAATTTCCATATTATAACTTTTAATATCATCAATTTAACAGAAAAATCTCGTTTGGTGATCTGGAGCTGACATAAACCATTTTACATAAGCCAATCAATATATTTGCTTTCCTCCTGGTAGTTTAATTTCATGTTCAAGAAAATATTGAACCTGATCAGGAAATACTTCAACTGAATCATTTTCTTGTACAAATTTGACAAGGATAAATGAATTCTTTAAATATCGATGCGTATTCAACGATCCAAAGATTTCAGCTCTAATTCTAACACGTTCAAATTGATTGACTTGAGGTCAGACAACTATTCTGTGATCGAAACATACTGCATTTCTTTGAACTGATTCTGAAATAGTTAAAAAATCAAAATCGTATGCAGCATTATAATAATCTACCAGAATTTTGTATATTTCGTCCAGTAAATTAACATTAATTTTTTTGGGAGCTAGCATCTCACCAGGGAAAGCTTCAGAATTGGTAATTATGTCTTCAATTTCGAGATAGAAAATTTGTCTAAATTGAAAAAGCTCAGCATACTCGAATTTATCATAAACTGCTAAGCTTCTCAAAGTTATCTGGAGTTATATTAATTTCAAGCTTTCAATGAGTTTCATATTATTCAATTGAGCAGATAGAAGATCCTCAAGTCACCAATGCTGCATAATTATTCTTAATAATTCTGGCTCAATTTTGCGATGACTGTTTGGGAAAAATCCTATTGATAATATTTTTTTTAAATAAAACTATTCTAAATATATTCAAATCAGATTCAATAATAATTGGCATATAACTTACCTAAGACACTGTTTATCCTTTCGAATGAGTAGCATCAGAAGGAATATAATAGTCCGTAGTCTCAACAACATTTGACGATATGAAGGAATAAGTGAATGTTAGGAGTAATTACTTCCAGTCCATAATTCTCTTCAATTAGTTTAGCAACTTGTAATAATCAGAACTGGACTTCATCCAATATATTATTATTAATAATGCATACTACTAATAAGAAGCAAGCTCTTACAAAACTGAACAAAATTTTTCAATCTTCTTCATCTAAAGATCTTACATCAATAGAGTCGCATAAATCATGATAAAAGATTTTTATTAGTCGGCCGTAAAACTGAAAATCCTTTACCAGTTGCAATTTTAAACAGGATTTTTCCAAGATTAGCTAGTACTTTAACATTTTTCGCTCGCTTCTCTATCAATTTGAGATCAGATTTGGAAATTTTTTTACCTTTGATCCACAATTGCTTTACAATCTATTGAGCGATTCCCAAAAACAAACAATACATTAGATCCATAACCAAATATCTAATTGGGTTGTAATAAAGCAAACGAAGTAATTCTGATCACCTCACATAAGTCCTACTTACATGTTGTTTTCTCTCATCATTCGTTTGTTATTTCTTTCAAATAAGAGCATTACGACGATGCTCTATCGGGTTTTTAGCCTTAAACTAATCAGACATGTTATCAAATCCTCTGAAATTTGATCTTTATCCATTTTCGTTGCTTGCTCTTTTGTGATACTGATGACATCCTATTAATGCTGATGCGTGGCCACATAACTTCCGTGAAGCCAGAATATCATTGCTGCAACAAATTACAACTATTCTAATATTCCTACAGTAGAGTAATTACTTATAACCGGTAAGTAAACTCTATTTCAAAACTCCAGTAATTCATCAACTATTAGTATGAGAAAATGATTGATCTTATGCAATTTTACTTCATTTGGTTCCAGTAAAAAGTCAAGAATCAATATATTCTCTTTTTTGAATCGAACGTCTTGTGAAAGATTACAAATTATGTTATATATCACGTTATAACTATAAGAAGCTGAATCAAAGGGTTAAAACTAATCTAAGTTTACCATAATTCCTAAATGCAAATCGGCTGTTTCAGATGTAAAAAATCGAGAATATTCTGAATTATCTGGATTATCGAGATGCGATGGAAAAGTCTTTCAGATTTTGCCATCATAGATATCAGTCATAAAGCTAGTTTTAGTATTCTGACTTATTCATTTATTCAAAAGTGATTCAAATTCTGGTCTTTAATACATCGATGATATTTGATTCTTTAAAGATGGTAATAGATATACCATTCTTGGTCACCAGATATATCCATTATTTACTGAAACCTTTATCAACAATTCTGAACCACAGGATTTACGTTAACTTCATATCGGATGATTTGATATGGGTGCATTTAAATTCTGAATTCATATTATTATCTGAATTTGCTGAAATTATTGCCGTAGAATCATATAACTTGTTACAATCTGGACAAGTCGTAAAGATTTTTGATTTTTTCCTGATATCTAACAACTTTCTAGCCATGTAAGTGGTTGGAGAAAAATTCTTCAAATTAACGTGAATTGATATCTTTTAAGATAAGGCTAAAGAAACTAATCAATGAGTTAATTATGACATCAGGAAGTCTAAACCTTTCTTGATACTTAAATATTCAGAGAAGGATCCATGAATCGCTCATATCATATTCATAGTAGAATCTTCTTGATCAAAATCATAATTAATATCAACACCAGGAGTCGCAAATAACTCAATCAGAATTTCGTCATCACTAAAGAGTGGTCCATCATCATCTAATGCTAGTTCAACATTAACGGACTGAGATCCTTCTTTATTCTCAAATTCATCATATGAACCAATTTGTTGTTTAGATTTTTTATCTGTAACGATGATGGTATTAATAATATTATTGATCTCATGAAACTATTATCTGAAATAGTAACTAATAATTCACATATCATCATTTTTTATAAATATATTGTTCTGACCATGAGAAAATCTATTTCAAATTATAATAGTCTGATCATACCTTCGTCACTTTTTTCTGGTAGGAACTTGCTTCATAATAAAAAATTCATCATCAGAATGTTTTTGATCATTATCAATTATCATATTATCATCACAAAGATTTTGAGAAGAACTAACCATGATTGATTAAACTTCAGCCAAAGAATGACTCTTTGAATTATAAGAATATATCGGTATTGAATCAATCTCTCTTTCTTTGCCTTTTTTCACTTTAGAGATAGAAGCTTAGAGTCAGTTTTCTTATACTTCATGTTTTTGTCTTGTCCTTGTATTGACCAGTTTGCCATTGCATTTTTTGCAGTTACACTGTACTTTAGTCGAACTTTGTAGATTTCATTACTGGTGTTGCTAATGCTACTAATACTTCTTTATTCAATCCTTTTTTTATTGCTCGTTTAACCATTTTTTAAAAATATAAAAAAAAATCAGAGAATAAACTAATGAAATAAATTTTAAACACACATATATCATATATATACAGTAGCAGTCATAAGTATCCGACCGCCTCTAACTCCAGCTACAAGTAAGTAAATTCAAAATTTTTTTTTTTATTTAAAAAATAC